ACACACACACACACACATATATGTATGTGTGTGGTGATAAAGCGTTAGCCATGTATAAAGTAAAGCTACATATTTCTCAAGTGAATATATGGTGGTAGATCCTGAGCTAACATCATTGGCTCGGGCGCTAACACGAATGCTAACAGGCTAAGCTAAGGTTTTCCTTATATTTTTGCTGTTTTGCTGTTAATTAAATGTTGCTGTTTGTGTGACAACATAATCTTTTTAATTCATAAAAACTAAACAACTTCTGGTATTTTGACAGTCTTTGTTTTACAGTTAAAGTAAATATTAACTAGTCAGAGTTCCCTTTAGGTGCGGTGCTCCTCTGTTCTGGAGACACAACAAGTCTGTAAAAACACCAGAGCTACATCAAACTGCTTCAACTACCCGAGTGCCGACTTGCATAGCTTTCCCTTTTTTAAAACAAAAACACAAGTCTTAATCCATGCAAATGCTGCAAAAGGTGAATATTTCAAGCAACCCTTTTAATAAGATGACATTTTATGACTAAATGTTGTAAAACTGCTTCCAATCAGGAGCCTCAGGCCTCTAAACCCCACTGCACACCTGTGTATTCATGTATTTGTGTACAGCTGATGTATATATTGCATCATCCACTAAATTCAAACAATGTACGCCCTCCCCCCACGACACCTCATTTCTTTCATTTCCTGGTCCTTAGTTCAAAACTTTAAACCCTTGATTTAAAAACAAAAACATTAACATGACAGAAGTATCTGAACATTTGAAGAACTTCCTAACGCGACCTGCAGGTGAGAGCATTAATCACAAAACAAAACAAAAACATCAGGATCACTGAACAACCACACGAGGCTGAAAATAAAACCAGGTATTGAGCTTCTTGTAGGAGTTTTTATCCCCGACGAGGAGGCTGAGTGACAGGACTGCACTGAGCGGGAACAAACGAGCAGAGATGATGATGGTTTCACAGCTGGTGTTGATCAGAGGGGAGAAGAAGCTGCTGAGCTGAAGTCCGTTTTATTTACAGGAAAAGTTTCCTATGTACACCGTTTGACTTTACCCTGGTCTGAGAGCAAACTTTCCCAAAACAAACCACTGAAACTGAAACCTCTTCTTCTCTGACGCAGATTTAAGTCGGCCTGTCTGGGCCCAGCCGGGTTTGAGACGGCCCTGATGAGCTGTACGGTTCACTTAATGATACAAGCTGCACCAGCATTCCCCCCAAAACCACTTTCTACTGCTGTAAGTGTCAGGATGAAGTAATAACAAAAAGATTTGATTTAACTTCAAGTGTAAAAATCATAAAAAATTACTTTGTAAATAAAAAAAACGAATCATTTATAAACAAACGTCTGCAAACCTCCATGAACCAAAGTGATTTTCTAAATGTGAAAATCCTCCACAAACACAAAAAGTGTAAAAGTCAAACGACTTCAGGTGATTTGGTGCTGAAGTTGGTTCTGTAAACTACTGGATCATAGAAAGGGACTATTTTATTTATTTTAGTTTAATAAACAGCTTCATGGTGGGAAATATTGTGTTTGAGGTTAGATTTACACTGCAAAAACTGTCCATGTTACCAAGTTTTAAAATCTTATATCAGCCAAAAAGTCTTTTTCATCTTGTTTTGAGACTGATTTACTAAACAAGAACTGATTGTGTAAGAATAATCATCTTGTTTTCAGAATGTGTAAGATTATTTGTC